CATTTTTAATCCATTCACTACTGCGCAGTCCTACAATCCAATCACCTCTTCAAGGCTCCACCTTTCAATTACCATAAGAGGATTTCCCACCCTCTTAACAGTCACAGTGGGGACTAAGTTTCTAACACAAAACTTGGGGGACACAATCCAAGCTTCAATGAGTTTTGGGGGGACATAATTCAACCCGCTGCAGGCAGGGTTGGGCTGGGCACTACCAGGAAGGAGAGAAGAAGATTCTTTTGTGGGCAACCACCATACTCATAGCCCTGGAGCAAGGATCTCAGCTGAACCAGTAAAAGATCTTGGACTCATTCTAAAAATCTACCTGTCAAGAGAGATGAGAGGGGCAGGAGACTCTTTAGTGGAGAGGCTGAGGGTTAAAGGCTTCTACTGGTTCCAGCCTGGAAAAATCATATTCTGTTGCATCTTCTTCCTCCCTCCTCCCCACCTTTCTCTCTCAGACCCTAGCCCCCACACTTCCCTCCTCTTCTCTCCCTCCCACCTTTCTCCCGTCCTTCCTCCCCTCTTTCCCCAATGTCACCCTTCTCCTTCAGCCCCCATTGCCCCAGCCTCCTCACTTCAGATCTGGGGACTTTCAGCACCAGCCCATGGCCACTCCCACCCCTACCAGGGGAGAGGGGACAGGGAAGGGAATGACAGAATTTGTCCCTAGGAATGGAGAGAAGAGTTGCAGGCCCTAAGGGCTTCAGGCCTCCTCAGAGAAGTGGGCTATGGGTAGATAGTCTATTAATTAATCCGTTCATTATTCATTCAGTGAACAATTGTTTTTCACCTACTATGTCCTGGTACTGTGTAGCCTCTGGGTCTTGCATGCAGAAAATGCTCAGGCTCTGCCCTCCAGGATCTAGTGAGGGAAGAGGTTGGTGAGCAAACAGGTGACCACCAGAGGATTGATGAGGACCACATAGAGAGCTATAGATGGGGTTTGGGAGTTGTTGGGGTGCAGGATCCACCCAGGGGCTGCTGGGAGAACAGTTGTGCTCAGGTCTGCATGTGAGGGTCACCTGGCTACAATGTGGAGCTGGAGCTACTGCAGAAGAAATGACTGAGGCAGGGCCCATGTGGAGGGGCCATCTTAGCACAGCCCACGCCCAGGAGAACCGCTTTCCTTCCTGAGCTGGTAGTGGGGCTTGGAGCATATGCAGAGGGATGATCCCATTGGGACCCTCATTGACCCCACATTTCTTGTTTCCTTTCCACCCCTCCCTGGTGGGGTCTACTGAGAGCCTCTGGGGGGAAACAGTGTTAGAAGAAGTGGAGAATGGTGGGGGTAGGTTGGGAGAATGGGGAGAGGGCCCAGAATGCTGCCATTTCGGCATCTGGAGGTCACCCATAGCAGTTTTGAGGGGTGTTTGTGTCTTGTTCCCTGGGCTGTGTCCCTTGCCCCAGCTCCAGGAGGCTCATTCCCACTCTGCTTGTCCTGGGCCCCTCGCCCAGCACAAACCTCCCCTTGGATGGTGTCACCCCTCTGCTCCTCAATCCCTGTGGTGGCTCCTCTTGGCCCACTGGCTAGAGTGTGAGCTGGTCCTGGTGCCACTCACAGCCCCAGCACCCTCCCTGCCCCTAGGTCACCACACCCACCAACACCCCTGCCCCTGAGCCTCTTCTCTGTCTGGGTCTTTCTCTTTCCTCGGTTCCAGCCCTCTAGTTATCCTGGGCTCTTGATGTGGGATCTTTCACACCAAACACACTCGAATCCTAGTACAAGGACCTCTGCACTATAACCAAGATGAATATAGGTATTTAAATAAACTTTTATTGAGGTACAATTTATATACATATGATAATATGTATCCATTTTAGGTGTACATCTCATTGATATTTTGGACAAGTTTATATACCTGTGTGATCATCATGACAATCAAAATATAGAACATTTCATTACCCACATAGTTCGCATTCAGTCCCCACCCCCAAGTCTGGGCAGCCACTACTCTGTCCCATTGATGACAGTTGTCCTTTTCTGCAGCACGCATTCATGGATTCACACAGTGTGCCCTCTTTAGAATCTGGCTTCTTTTCTTTGGCTAATTTCTTAAGATTCAGGATGGAAGTTTCCTAGATTTTTTCCTAGTCACAGTGAGAATCAGAAGCATTAGAAAAGAATGGAGATGCTGGAATCTGCATGGTGTAGTGGTTAGAGCAGAGTCTCCGAGTGGAGCAGAACTGGGACCAAAAGCTAGTTCCAAAACTGATCAGCTTTGAGACAGGGTGAGCCATGCATGGTCTCCCACCTCAATTTTATCAGCTGCGAGGTGGGGCTAATGTCACTCCATTGCTATTTCTATGGACAGTGGACTGTGGCGACTAGGGGCTTGACTCTGGAGCCAGACTGATGGAGGCACTAAATTGATGTGGGGCCTGGCCAATGCTTTTATCTTCAGATTCTTCCTGCACCTTCCCAGTCCCACACATTGTACCGCACTATTTCCCTTGTCCTTCAACTCACTCCTGGCTTCCCCACCCCCTCACCCAATTAACTTCACACCGACCTACTGTCCAGCCTCAAACGGCCTCCTCCTCTTCCCTACATTCTCCCTACAGACCCACATCCATATGGAAGTATGGCCACTTCCACACTCACCCTACACATTCCAAATGTATTCCCCAGTGACCCCTGGGGCTGTGACTTTGAGGAGGGACCAGGGCCTCACATTGTCCAGGAGGGTCTCCAGAGGCTGGGAGCAGGCAGGGGTGGCGCCCTGCTAGTGCAGTGGCCACCCCTCATCCATCTGATTGTGGTCTTGAGGCCCTCAGGGGCAGAGGAGGGCAGGAGAGCAATTGAACCCACTTGAGCCTGAGACGGGGGCCCAGGCTAATCCTGGGGGCTTAGTGGGATTTTCTGGTCTGTGTATGCCCTGCTCTCTTGGGCCTGATAACTGACTGATCTGCAGATAGGCCGGACACAGGGGATTTAGCCACAGTGAGGGTGTTTATCTTGTCCCCACAATCCCACTATCTTCATCAGGGATGATCATTGTTAATTTTCGTATATGTCTTCCTAATCCCCATCCCTTTTAAAGATGATGCCTTTATAACACATGTATAAATATGTGCCTATATTAGGATCACCTTGTTCTTTATCTGAATTTGTTTCACTTACTAAGTATCTTGTGCACCCTTCTATATCAGTACATAGAGAGCAAACTCAATCTAATCGTTATTTGGTATTGTTTAAATTCATTTAATGAATATCATTATACATATATCATGAAATTCATTTTAATAAGTATCATTATACATCTTGTGTCAATGGGCCAGTATTTGGTGTGTTCTTTGTAGCCAGAAGTCTGACCATTCTGGCAGGAAAGAAAGAACAGGTCTTCTAGGGTCTTTTTTAGAAGGGTCTCAACTATCAGGGGGCATCCTGGTGCCCGCGTCACAGGTGCCCTTATGACGTCATCACTCTCTCCCCTCCTCCACTCTTCCTGCTGGAGCTGGGACTGGAGGAGTGCAGCAGACCTGAGGGTGATGGAACCATCTATCCCCTAAGCATGGGTAATTTAGTAGAGTGCAGAACTGTGGGGATCTGACCATCAATTCCTCAGCCAGGGGCATTCAATGTTTTGTAATAGATCCAGCCACGTTTTCTGAGAGGTAAGGGTAAGTTTCCCATAGTTACTTCATGAAAGGATCCCCCTCCCTTTCTGAAGTCCCAGGAAAGGCCAGGAAGGTGAGTTTGTGGTTGACTTGACACCTAGTGGTAGAGAGAGCACCCTCACTTTCTCCCATGTTTTTACTCCCTACGCTCTGATTACAGAAGGACAGCACGTTTTCTGAGAGGTAAGGGTAAGTTTCCCATAGTTACTTCATGAAAGGATCCCCCTCCCTGTCTGAAGTCCCAGGAAAGGCCAGGAAGGTGAGTTCGTGGTTGACTTGACACCTAGTGGTAGAGAGAGCACCCTCACTTTCTCCCATGTTTTTACTCCCTACGCTCTGATTACAGAAGGACAGGGAACCATTTAAAATTATCATCAAAGATAATGATGAAATCACATTGATAGAACAGAGCTTGAAGGAGCAAAGGAGAGAAGAGAGAAGTGACAAGTGACTCCCCCTCCCACCACTCTCACTACCTTTCCCAGAACTCTGTTGGTAGATGGGTCCAGGCTATGCTGTGACTGGGAGAGCCTTGACTTGTGACATCTCTGGCCTTGTGGTCCAGCAGAAAGACTCAAAGGTCTGTGACCATGTGATTTATCGTCCAAAAAGAGATCCCTCAGTGAGGGAAAAGGGCACGTGTCATCATTACACCAGGACAATAGGCATAAACGCAGGTGTCCCAGGCAAGCTGGGGTGAATGGTTGACATACACAAGCTGGAATGAACAGCGTTGACCTCTCCTTGACTGTCCTTTTCCCTCTTTCCTTCTTAGGCAGAGAGAGGTAGGTCTGGCTGGGATATGGCATGTAGATGGTAGCAAAGAGGCAGGCAAAGGAGTGTGAACCCAGACCACGAAGGGCTGGAAGCTGCAAGTGAGGACTGTGGGGAATGCAAGGACTGAAGTGTGGGAAGCCAAGGTCTAAAATGTGTGTGTTAGTGTGTGTGTGCATGCACGTATGTTTGTATTGATGTGTGTGTTAATTGAAGTTTAAGCTGTTTATAAGGTGTGTGAGGTGGAGAAATCTTTACTACTTTGGGGAGGCAGAGGGGACGCTGTAGGTTGTGGGTTTAGCCTGAAATCAGAGGTGGAGGGCAGGGCAAGCAAAGGATGCCAGCTCTTCAGCAGGTGGGAGTGGTCTCAAGGGAAGAGACGCAGATCCCGGGTGGGTGGACAGGCTGAGGCGAAACTTGTAGCTCTTTTACCTTTATGTCCTGGCGTTCTTGCTCCGGACTGGTCAACCAGGTCCATGGAAAACCGGGTGAGGTAGTTAGGGCAGTTGTACTCCCATTTTGGGACCCTTCTTGGCACACCCCGAGTTTCCTAGGTGTCCTGTGTTTTCTGTTTCCTCTTGCAAGAGCCAGAAGGGAAGACCATCATGACACAAGAGTCTGCCGCGGTGTTCATCCAGGCCTGGTGGCGCGGGACGCTGGTGCGCCGCACGCTACTGCACGCGGCCCTCAGAGCGTGGACCGTTCAGTGCTGGTGGAGGCAGACGCTGGCGAGGCTGCTGACGCAGCGGCTGCGGGGAGCGCTGGAGTTCTACGCACGGGGAGAATGGGCAGCTGTCAGGCTGCAGTCCTGGGTCCGCATGTGGCGCATCCGCCAGCGTTATTGTCGTTTGCTCAACGCTACCCGCATCATCCAGATCTATTGGCGCTGGCATAATAGCCATTCCCGTGGATTTATTCAGGGTCACTATGAACTCAAAGAAAACCAACTGGGTATTCAACTTGAAATTTCTCTGGGCTCACAGGCTTGTAAGGTGCAACAATGCATACCTCTTCCAATTAAAGAATGACATGGTCTGCTCTAGCTGTGTCCCCGACTGTCTTTGTGAGACATATTTTTAGGAAGTCATCGTTTGAGGTAATGATGGAAAATACTAGGCATCCCACAAGTCACCTCTGAGGAGTCAGCAGCGGTTGTCTGGGGTTCCATGTGGAGAAGGATTCTGAGAGCCCTTTGGCTGGATGAACAGGACCTGTGATTGGGAGGGTTGGGGTTTCAGGATCGCCAAGTCGACCAACTCCAGGAAGACTAAATGGTGCCCCGTGGTGACTGTGTCATCTTCTGTCCTTTTTTCTTTGCAAATTTTTAAGATTTATTTATTTATTTTTGGAGCTTTTTTTTTTTTTTTTTTTTTTTTTTTTCTTTTTTTTTTTTCAATTTTTTAAATTTTTTTCTCTTTTTCTTTGCAAAATTTTAAGATTTATTTATTTATTTTTGGAGCGTTTTTTTTTTTTTTTCTTTTTTTTTTTTCAATTTTTTAAATTTTTTTCTCTTTTTCTTTGCAAAATTTTAAGATTTATTTATTTATTTTTGGAGCGTTTTTTTTTTTTTTTCTTTTTTTTTTTTCAATTTTTTAAATTTTTTTCTCTTTTTCTTTGCAAAATTTTAAGATTTATTTATTTATTTTTGGAGCGTTTTTTTTTTTTTTTCTTTTTTTTTTTTCAATTTTTTAAATTTTTTTCTCTTTTTCTTTGCAAAATTTTAAGATTTATTTATTTATTTTTGGAGCGTTTTTTTTTTTTTTTCTGACAGCTGGCCGGTGCAGGGATTGAACCCTGGACCTTGATGATATCAGCACCCTACTCTAATCAACTGAGCAAACCGCCAGCCCAAGATTTTTTTAAAAAATTGTGGTAAAATATACATAACATAAATTTACTGTTTTAAATGTACAGTTCAATAGCATTAAGTATATTTACACTGTTGTGCAACCATCACCGCCATCCATCTTCAGACCTTTATTCATTGCGAAGCTGAAACTTCGTACCCATTGAACAATAATTGCCCATTTCTCCTTCCCTCCAGACCTGGCGACCATCATTTGACATTTTGGGCCTATGAATTTGATGTCTCTAAGTACCTCATATGAGTGAAATCATACAATATTTGTCTTTTTGTGACTGGCTCATTTGACTTAGCATAATGTCTTTGAGATTCATCCATGTTGTAGCATGACTCAGATTTTCCTTTTGAAGGCCAAATAGTATTCCATTGCGTGTATACACCACATATTGCTTATCCATTCTTCTGACAATGGACAATTGGGTTGCTTCCACCTTTTGGCTATTTGAGTAATGCTGTTATGTACATGGGCGCACAAATATCTCTTCAAGACCCTGCTTTCTTTCGGGTATATACCAAGAAATGGAATTGCTGGATCATATGGTAATTCTATTTTTAATTTTTTGAGAAACAATCATAATGTTTTCCATAGCAGCAGTACCATTTCACATTCCCACCAGCTGTGCACAATGGTTTCAATTTCTCTATGTTTTCGCCCAACACTTGTTTCTCTGCTTTTTTGATAAAAGCCCTCCTAATAGCTGTGAAGTGGTATCTCATTGTAGTTTTGATGTACATTTCCCTAATGATTAAGGATGAGAATATTTTTATATTCTGTTGGTCATTTGTATATCTCCTTTGGAGAAATGTCTGTTCAAATCCTTTGCCCATTTTTTGAATTTGTTTTTGTCCTTCTGTTGTTGAATTGTAGGTGTCCTTTATAATTTCTAGATTTTAATATCTTATCCGATGTATGATTTGCAAAGATTTTCTCCCATTCTGTGGATTGCCTTTCCACTCTGTTTTTGTCCTTTGATGCACAAAAGTTTAAAATTTTGATGTAGTCAATTTATCTATTTTTTCTTTGTTCCCCGTGCTTTTGGTATCATATCCAAGGAATCACTGCTAAATTCAATGTTATGAAGATTTTTCCCTATGTCTTCTTCTAAGAGGTTTATAGTTTCATACCTTGTGTTTAGGTCTTCAATCCATTTTAAGTTAATTTTCGTATATGGCATAAGGTAAGGTTTTATCTTCATTCTTTATGAAGTTGATATCCAGTTTTCCCAGCACCATCCATTGAAGAGACTGTCCTTTCCCTATTGAATGGACTTGGCATCCTTTCTGAAAATCATTTGACCACATATGTGAGGGTTTATTTCTGGGCCATCTATTCTATTCCACTGGTCTATAGGTCTGTCTTTATGCAAGTACCACACAATTTTGATTACTGTAGCTTTGTAAGAAGTTTTGAAATTAGGAAGTGCAAGACCTCCAACTTTGTTCTTTTTCAAGATTATTTTGGCTATTCATTGTCCCTTTAGATTCCATGTGAATTTTAAGATGAATTTCTCTATTTCTACCCAAAATGCCATTGTGATTTTCATAGGGATTGCATTTAATCTATAGATCCCTTTGGGTAGTATTGGGATGTTAACAATATAAAGTCTTCCACTCCACGTACATTGGATATGTATACATTTGTGTCTTCTTTAATCTCTTTCAGTAACGTTTTGTAGTTTTTAAAGTAAAAGTCTTTCACCTCCTTATGTAAGTTTATTCCCAAGTATTTTATTCTTTTTGATGGTACTGTAAATGGAATTGTTTTCTCACTTTTTCTTTTGAATTGCTCATTTTTAGTGTGACACATTTTTGTGTGTTGATTTTGTATCCTGCTAATTTTCTGAATTAATTTAAGCTTTTTGTGTGAAATTTTTAGGGCTTTCTAAATATAAAATCATGTTATCTGTGAACAGAGATAATTTTACATCTTCCTTTACAATTGGATGCTTTTTGTTTCTATTTCTTGCCTAATTGCTCTGGCTAGGACTTCCAATTCTATGCTGAATAGAAGTGGTGAAAGCAGGCATACTTTCCTTGTTCCTGATCTTAGAAGAAAAGCTTTCAGTCTTTCACCATTGAGTATATTAGCTGTGAACTTTTCATATATGGCCTTTATTATGTTGAGGTCATTTCCTTCTTTTCCTATTTTGT